TCTTATGGACATGACATTTTCAGATTGCCAACTTGATAAATATACTGCCACAAACATGACAGTTTTTTTTTCAAATAACCAATAAGTTTGACATTCTTAAATTATAAAAGTGACATTTTGCTGAATAAATAAAATTCAAACACAAAGAATCCAAATTAATTAATAAAATTCAAATCCAATCCCTATTAATCAAAATCATAATACTTCGTACAACTCAAATAAAAAGTTTGTTGTTGCTTGGAATCACACGTTTGATCTAAATGGTCACAAGTGAGATTTTTTTAGAAAAGTAAAAGAATTAAGAAAAATCAAAATGATTCTACAAAAATGCAAACAGAGCACCACATAAATGATGAGAAGATTAAGATCGAACCGGAAGGAGAAAAAAAGAGAAGAAGAAGAAGAAAGAAGAAAGAAGAAGAAAGAAGAAAGTTGGAGAGGATGGCCTGTTTTCACCGAAGAAATAGGTGTGATTGCCGTCGATGGGGAGGGCAGACGCCGTTGATGTTGTAGGGGCTGCGTTTCATAGTGGGCGGAGTGGTTGCGTTCAATCGCAGGCGAAGGGCTGCAATTCCATGACGAGGAGAAAAGTTGCAGAGTAAAGGGAACTGATTGGAAGGAAGAGTCGGTCGATTGGGTTTAATACATGAGGGCAAGAAATATGTAATGTGGAGTCCTATTTAGGGAATAATAAACTTAATGTCCTAATTAGGAATTTTGACAATGTTTTGGTCTTATTTAGGACAATTTTTTCTTTATTTTTACTTTATCAATTCAATATCAACCACATAAATCCACTTTTCTTAATAATCGTGTCACCTTCTTTCGTCCCAATGTTAGTGGGACGGAGGTAATAACTTATAAAGCTCTCCATCATAATTACGGAAATGCCATCGCGTCAAAAAAAAATTGAAGGTTTCTGGAGTTATTTTTTGCGGTGGCATTTTCGTAATTATTTTATGGAGTTATCTATAAGTTATGATTTATTAGTTAAAAGTTCGTATTTTTAGTCTATAAGTTAAACTTCGCAGTTCTAAGCTTAATGACACTTCTCACCTGATCCGCTCTCTCTCTCTCTCTCTCTCTCTCTCTCTCTCTCTCTCTATATATATATATATATATATATATATATATATATATATATATATATATATATTGGTTCAAATGAGAACAAGTCTTAACGTGAGAACGAATCATAACCATCTATTAATATACGCCATCTGCGATCAAATGAAGTTAACAAAAGGGCATTTAAGTATTTTTCTAATGGCCGTTTTTGTAACCCATGATGTTAGCCGCAATTTTCATCCGTTCCACTTGCAAATATTACGTTCCATTCCATATTATTAAATAAAGCATTTCATCTGTTCCACTATTTCAAAACTCAAGTTCCATATATAATTAAATAAAGCATTTGATTTGCCATGTGATTTGACTTTTGATGTTAATGCTCACTCATCTAAGAGAACAACCTTATTCATAACCTCTATTTTCACTATTTTATAATTTCAATGCACAATTGCTCTTGTTTATTTTCATTGCTCACCATATATAATTGCATATCTATGAGCACATATTTTCATTTTATGTCAGATATATCAATTGTGAGTTAGATACCGGTTCATGTGCATTATATATTGGGGGACCAAGTTGTGTGCTAGATATTGGATCAACATACTTTACGTCTTAACATTTGCATTTGTACAATTCACAACTGCACTATTGTGCCACTCAAATGCGGTATTTGGCGTTCTGTGCTAGATACCGGTTACTGTGCATGGTGTATTTGTTGTGACTCTCTATTTTCATTTCTTGGACATATATTTGTATTGTGCATTAGGTATTGATTCTTGTGTGTTATATATTAGTTTAAGTTGTGTGAAATCCTTATGTGTGAGAAATTAATTAGGTTTTAATTTGGTGTGTCAAATATTGTTCTTTGTGCATTGGATATTGGATTTTGTACTTAAGACACTTGTTTTAGTTTTTCTTATATATATTGTGTGTTGGACATTGTTTCATGTGCATTACATATTATTCGGTGTGTGTTAGATACATACTCCCTCCGTTCCTAAAAAATCTTTCCGGTTTGACTTGACACGCTTATTAAGAAAGTGGAATAAAGTGGAATAAAGTGGAAATGTATGGTTGTGTTGTGTAAGAAAAAGGTAAAATGAATGTGAGCCACACAAATTGTCCAAAATGGGAAAGTGGGAAGTATTTTTAGGAATAGCCCAAAAAGGAAAGTGGGAAGTATTTTTGGGAACGGAGGGAGTATTCTTGTACATGTGGTAGCTGAAGATAATGTTTGTTGTGATTTATTTTATACAGAGTACATATTATACTTATTTTTTAAAAAATAAAATTATATATGTCATATTGGTGTCATATGAAAGCTCATAAAAAATTATTTAATTTGATATAATTTTTGTTTAAATCAGATTATAATTTAAAAAGTTAAATCAATTATATTAAATTAATTTTTTATATTATTTGACCTTTTATCATTTCCTAATTTTTAGGTGGATGATAGCCTCTAACCGATTCTACATTAAAGGAATGTCAAAAGATTGACAATTTCACCCTTTGTGCAAACCACATAGTGATGTTAGTGTGCGTTGCAATGCACTAATTAATTGTGCACCACCAAATAATCAACCGTCTGATTCTTTTAATTAAGAGCTAGGATTTGTTTTCACGTTCTCACGTTAAGCATCATTCTCACTGGAACTGCACTATATATATATATTGTATGGTGCAGGCGCAAGAATTGCTCTGTCTTGTACAGTTGTACGTATGTTGGAGCGCTTAATTTATCAAATAGATAGTACTAAAGATGACACTCCATCTTTGAGGACCTCTCAACACCGGCGGTTAACTCGAAGAAAAAGTTTTTCAAATACTAGGAAGAGAAGGATGAGGAGTGTGTCTAAAAAGAAAGAGAGGATTTACCAGATTCTTACGTCCCCAGGGCCGGTTCCGGGGGAGAGGGGCGACCGCTTTAGGCCCGAAAAAAATAGAAGAAAAAATAGGCCCAATTTTTTTCTTTATATATAGTTTGAGTAGGCTTCTTTTTTATTCTTAAGTTCAATTAATTATACTAATGTTTAATTTTGTTGACAATTTGAAAATTTAAAATATAAATAAAAAGTCTTAAACAACATAGCCAAGTTAAAAAAGAATATATACATTAATTTTAAGTAGCATCGGTTGTAGTTTTTAAAATCAATACAATTGTTGATGCATCAATAAAAGACAAGCCTCTTTAGTCTTCACATCTCTTTAGCCTTTAAGGCTTTTTGTTCATTTTTATTATAACATAAAATCTTTATATAATTATTTTAGAGCCTCTCTCTCTCAAATCTCATCCCAATTATTTATTTGTTTTCATCAGCGGTCAATAAATCATTACTTATGATTTCAATATGTAGTACTACCTCCATCTCAAAAATGATTTTAATTATTATATTTGTATATAATTTATAAATTTTATACTTTTATGAAAATATATTGAATAAGGTACATTTTGATATAATTTTCATATTAAAAAAATCGTATTAAAACATATTATTAGTCAAAGTTGATTATCATTGACCAAGAAAAGTCAATTTGACGAAACTTTTCGGGACGAAGAGAGTAATACTTTTTTTTCATTTATCCTTTCAAAAGAAAGTTTAGTATTGTTATATGTAGACTGTGGTGATTTTATTGTTTGTCATATTAATTAGTGGAAATAAGGTTGCCTATGAAGCGATTATTGATGATTTGCTTCACATTGGTCTACGAGAAACGTTTTTTAGTAATGTTTTTTTCTTTTTATTCGATACTCGTGTTGTTACTTTTGTCCAAATATGTAACTTAAATAATAATAAAGTGATTCTCGTCCTTATTTTATGAACTTCATTGAATACTTCTATTATAATTCATATTTCAAATAAGTATATGATTTACGGTTTGTCTTGGATATAGGTCCACGTAGCGCCGGGCCTGTACGTCCCCACCTTCTATGAAAGTTCCCTCACATTTTCTTTGAAGTGAATTTTTCTTTTAAAGTAATCGAGGCTGTTCTATTTATTATAAAGTCAAGAAGCTTCTCATTTCCTAATATTCTCAACTATACCCCTCTCTCTCACCCATTTGGTGAAAGGTCGTTGGTTAGTTGGATCTTTTATCGAAAAGAATTTAGTAGACCAAGGATGTTTTTACTTGGATTGTAATTTGCTGGTCTGATCTGGTCTGGTTTCTTTGTATTTTTATAACTATCCAAGTCTGATCTGGTCTGAACTGGTTTGGTCTGAGAGGAATTACAGTCCAAGTAAAAACATCCAAATAGTTCCTTACTTTTATGAACTCGGTTGACAAGACAAATTATAATTCAAAAACGAAGTTTATTGTGATGATTGATACACATTAACAAAAAATGAATTTGAAAAGCAAAAAAAAAATGTGCAGCATGAAACTCTCAACAGCGAGCTCATATAGTAAAAATTAGAGCTGTCGCAACTGTTGAAACTGGGGAGTTGGGAAACTGTTTTAGAAAATCTGGCGGATTTCTCAGAGTATCGTGTGATCACTTTCCGAATCTAATATTTCGACCCTATGTCTGGGTTACACGAAATTTAGATTATGGGGATAATCACTCTTAGAGACAGTCTAAAACTGAGGCACCAATATATAGACCATGAACTAGCAGTTTTAGTAGAACTCGAATTCTTCTGATTACCAAAGAGATAAGGCCAATCAGTTAGAGTTTTACTCTAACAGAAAGTCATTCTATTAAATAATTAATATGGACATGTTTATCCGAAAATAAATTTCCATATTTATTTCTTTAATAAAATAAAATTTTGGTCCGGGGCGCTGCCCCGAGCCCCGCGAGGGCGGCCTCCCTCGACCCCGCTCGCTGACCGGGCAGCGAGACCCCCGCCAGGGACAGCACCCCTTGGACCCCGCCAGGGGCGCTGCCCCTTGGACCCCGCAAGGGGGCGCAGCCCCCTTGACCCCCGCCATTTAATCGAACCAAGTTTAAATTTAATTTCGTACAAGTGTGCGCTCTGCACCTCCTAACTTGTCTAAAATTAAACTTGAACTCCATTGGTAATCTGTAAATTCCATTACACTAAAATGAACCTGGTGATACTAAAATCACCAACAGCAACTGTTTACTATTATAGTCTCAGAGATCAATAGGGTGAGGGGAAACACAATGGATCTTTTGGAGTGGTGTAACAAGGCATCATTGTGATGAAAGTGGTGCTCTCTCAAAGTTTGAAGGAGGCCATAAGGCTATTGGTGGAAAGTAGGTCCTCATAGCACACTCCATTAGCTTTGTTGTGATTTGTAAGGGCAAATGTGCAATATTATGTTATTACTTACTTCAGGTTAACTGGTGGGCCGTGGGAGAGGTGAGCAGGAAATGTTTTTGCTCCCTACATAAATAGTACGGAGTATAAGGCACCAACTAGTGAGTAATGACCCACATTTTAACTGACGTAGTTACATGAAGGGGCAATGGCATATAGCCATATAGGCCGTTAGGCTTGGGATTAAAAGCTTTTCATAGAAAATGAAATGCTAAACTATTAACAGGAGTAGTAAGAGCAACTGCAAGAGTTAAAAAGTTGCAACCTTCCAAAAATAACAACAATATACACCAGTCAATGTATCATGCATGGGTATAAACCTTAAGTTCTACCCATGGACAAATTCCTTAATAAAATAGGCATATATCATCCAAAGCCGCCCACATAAATCACTCTCCCCCAAAATGGCATGCATACATATCAAATACCAAGAGCTATAGTCCCTATCAAACTGCTTGGACCAGGTCCGAGCACCATTGACCTCACCAAGAGCTATAGTCCCTATCAAACTGCTTTTGGAGGAGAGAAATTAGGGGTGAAGAATAAGAGTGGTTCGAGAGTTCATACATGTGCATCCAATTGTAACATCATAAGTGCGGGATAAATGCAGGATGTGCCGAAGGCTTGAGTTGGGTTTCCAGTTGCCTGTTTTCATATAAAATGCTTTGAACTGGAGGGGCACAAAAGGAATCCTGAGCAGGGAAGGATCTCAAATTAGTTCAGATTTGGCATGGCCAAGGGTCAGATTACTTAACCCACGAGCGATATTGTTCTTTCTGCCTTCTCTATGGGTTCTCCAAAGTGCTATTTTATCAGTAGCATCGCAGTGGGACACAACACAGTTCTTTCCCCAGTAGAGACATGGAGCCAGTGACTCACAAATATAACAATGACACTGTAATAAGTAAACCAACAATCATCAAAACAGCCAAAATGTAATACGAAGTATATCTTTTCGCACTCAAACTCAGAAAGGAAAGTTAAAACATTAACTTCTAACATATTTCCTTGGAACACATTAGTTGTTCTCTCGATCCTAGTTTAATGATGTTTTAGAAATGTGTCAATATTACAAAGTGCCAATGTTATCCCTATAGAGTTCAACATAAAAATGTCTCTAATATCTTCTCAAGGAAAAATTAAATAGCATCATACTTGTTACGGCGGTAAGGTGAGTCGTGGCGCCAACCGACCGCCATATTGCCTAGGCGACAAGGCACCCACCTAGGCGACAATTAGGTGACTAGTCATACATTGTATAGTATATTATATATTATGTATAATTATATATAACATTCTATAACTATGTTTAATTTGTAATTTATTGTATATTATATATAATAAATTACTAATTAAATTGTGTATTACCGAGAATTGAAACCAACAATTAATAATTGAAAGTTTGAAACAAAGGTTCAGTAAGGGCAATTCGAAGTAAAAATGGCTATCTCATAAAGTACGTATATCATAATTCATATACGGAGTATTTGTATACGTAATTATATACTAGTATAATACAGGGTAGTTTTTATTAATATTTTAATAGTTTATTAATTTATAACATACAGAGCATACAGTAATAGTATAATACTATAAAATCGCACCAAACATCCTATGCTCTGTGCCTCTGATTGACCGTATGCGTGTGTACTTGTTATGGCCTGGCCAATAGTCTAAGAACAATATGATCGGAAACGGAAAAGTAGAAGGGGAAGGGAGATAGACAGAATACTTGGGGAAGAAGTCAGTGAGAATAATGTAATAATCATTCTGCTTTTGTAAACGGACAGTACAAATATTTATACTATTCCTTCTTTCTAAGAATAGAAGCAACCCTCATAACATAAGTTGGGTTTTAATAATAAAGCATAGTCCAGCATAATAATATAGCATAATATATATTGGGTGCAATCCGGTCCACTTTTTATTCTTTAGTACGGCCCATCAGATAATTCTTCCCTTCTAGTTTACCGCTTCCACGCTTTTGAATGAGGAAACCTCCTTGCCCTTTGAATCAGCCGAGATCATGACAATACCCCCCCCTTTTTCCGATCCTTGTCCACAAGGATCACTAGCCGCAAACATCTCCCTGAACTTCCCTTTTGAGATCCACCCTTCGATAGTTCCCTGCCCTGGTTCGATGGACAGCAGTAACGTCATCTGCCCAGATCCTGAGGTTTTTGAGCGGATTTCCTTGATGGATGATGGAGCAATGAAGAAACACCCATTATGGTCAACTGGGGGAAGAGCAGATATCACCTTAGCTCTGGGACTGATGCAGCGTTTCAGTACAGAGACATGGAACACTGGATATATTTTAGCTCCCTCTGGTAAGTCAAGCTTATATGCTACCTTACCCACCCTTTCCAAGACGGCATACGGACCAAAGTACCTGGCTGTTAACTTGTGATTTTTTCTCAGTTGAACTGAGTGTTGTCTGTACGGTTGTAGTTTCAAATAGACCAAATCCCCGACTTCAAATTCCCTGTCCCTCCTCTTGCTATCTGCGAAGTATTTCATTCTTTCTTGTGCTAACCTTAGATTCTCCTTCAGCTCCTGTTTCATTTTCTGTCTCTGAGCTATGAGCTCCTTAACATCCATGTTTGTGGAGTTAGTTAGGGTTGATAAGGACAATGTTGGAGGTATGTAACCATAGAGGGCCTCAAATGGGGTGGTTTTGAGACTGGTATGGTAGTTGGTATTATACCAGTATTCTGCCAGGGGTATCCATTGCAGCCATTGCTTGGGATTATGAAAAGCCATAGCTCTGAGGTAAGCCTCTAAACACTGGTTTAGCCTCTCTGTCTGTCCATCAGACTGGGGGTGGTAGGATGAGGTGTAGCTCAAGTGTCCCCATAAGCTTGAATAACTCCTTCCAGAACCCACTCAGGAACACTACATCTCTGTCAGTCAATATGTCTAGAGGTTGCCCATGTAGTTTGTACACACAGTCTAAGAACACCTTAGCTACTATTGCAGCAGTATAGGGGTGTGATAAAGGCAGGAAATGCCCATACTTAGTTAGTCTGTCCACTACAACTAAGATGACATCCTTTCCATGTGACTTGGGCAACCCCTCGATGAAGTCCATACTGATGTGGCTCCAGACCTGGTCAGGGATAGGGAGAGGTTGTAGCAGCCCAGGATTGGGTCCCCCTTCTGGCTTGGATTGGGCACATATCTCACATTCCTTGACCCACCTGGTGATATCCCCCTTCATTTTAGGCCAGTAGAATAACCTTCTTATCCTCATGTAGGTGTCTTGTACACCGGAATGTCCCCCAATTGCAGATGTGTGTAATTCCTTGAAGATGGTGTATTTTAATTCTGTGGTGCGGCCAATGGTTACTCTCCCCTGATATCTTAAAATCCCATCAATGTTTTCAAAATCTGGATTTGAAGCAGGGTCTATGAGCTTTTCTTGTAATATTTGTGATAGATAGGTATCATGTTCATAGCTCTGGAGTACTTGCTGCATCCATGCAGGTCTCACCACTGATATAGACCAACATTCCTCCTTTTCCTTCTTCCTAGAGAGTGCATCAGCCACCTTGTTTTCAACCCCCTTTTTATATTGTATGTCATAATCTAATCCCAACAATTTGGTAATCCACCTTTCCTGGAGAGGAGTAGTTATATTCTGGTCTAGGAGGTATTTTAGTGCTTGTTGATGATAGGTAACTCAACAAAGCAGCAGAAATGTAGTGTTCAATTGATAAAATCTGAGGAACCGATCCTCCCGGTACAATGGCGCATAACAGTAAACCCATGTACAGTAGCGTAAAACAGAAAATAGAAGAGAAGAAAGGTTTGAGACAGTTCGAGTCGTCTCACACTCCCAAGGCCTAATTCCAGATCCAATTTCTACCTAACCTCCCCCACTCCTCCCTCTCACTCTTATACTAATTTTATTCTTAAAGGGCCCAAGCCCATATACATGGCCCAGAACCCTTATTTTTACTCTACCACCATTGCTTAACATCACTCTATTACTATTATCAGTATTTTTCTTCAGCCTGGGATCCTATCATATCTCCCCCCTTAGACAACCACCTTGTCCTCAAGGTGGGTGATAGGAAAAGGCCTTCTTGATCTTCAACTTCATCTTCATCCTGGCACCTCTGCCTTCCCAATATCTAACTGATGGCAGAACCATGAGCTTGCTTGCCTGGAGAACACACTGATTGTTGGGATTTTTGTAATGGTTTTGTTCCTCATGATCAAATGGTGCTGCTTGATCTTTCCTTTCAATATCCTTCTCTGGATGCACTGGCTGCGAATTGATCAAACTGCCAATGCTGCCAGTCATTAAAATAATGCGTCCATCTCTGGTTAAGCACAAAGCAAGTTCTTCCTCACTTCTATAAGGGATTCCACCTTCTGGTATCACAGTGCTTTGATGAACACCCAAAAATGCCTTAGAAGAAAAGACCAGAGATCTTGAGCTAGAGGGACTGTACATTAGAAACAAAACCAAGGGTGAACCAATATCAAGCAGAGCAACCTGACGGCTTTCAAACGCCATAACCCATTTGGATCATGCACTGCCAGATGCATACTGGGAAACTGACAAGTGAAAAGATAGCTGTGCATTGATACCCAGCACCACTTGGGAAAAGGGAGACTTCAGTGTTGGGTTCAGTGATCAAATGCAATCTTGTTTTCTCCAAGCCAGAGCTGCTGCCAAGCCTGTAATAGGGAACTTGACCAGATTTGTTCCCAATAGCAACACTCCAGGAGTTAGTGGAAGAGTTTAGAGTTGTTGTAGCTGCACTAGTATTAATGCTTTCCAAGCTCTTCACCTCAGATACAATAGCCCCAAGGTTGTAGAACCAAGCAGACTCATTATCAGCATCTTTCTCAAAATTCTCTTTTACTAGGATATAATCATTCTTCACCCCATAACCCTTCGTGTAAAAGTATTCCTTGATATCATAAGCCGACTCTACTGCCTTTGGGTAATTTCCACCAAATCCCGCTCCTTTTACACGTATTTCTTCAAGAAATTCCCTTGGCCTTGCCTTGCCCTGATCAATAGGCTCCCAAACCCATGATAATGCTTTGGCATGGACATTCCTCACTCCCTGAATTGTTCCTTCCCTGGTAGGAGAGGGTGTATCGAGTGACATTCCATTCGCTTCAGTAACCTTCCAGCCTTCAATAGCAACAAATGTTTGTTTGCTTTCCTGTGATGTACGACCTACACCTTTATTTACACCACCACCAAAAACAGGAACATAGTTGTGATAAATTGTTAACTCTTCATCCCTCTTGATGTCCCTTACTGTCTCAAGTACCTCACCAGTGGCAGAATTTGTTTTCATGCCCTGAACTTCTGCATTCTCATCCTCATTAATCTGCTCATCAGAATATACTGAGTTAACAAAAACTTCAACTCCATTTGACAGTTCACCTGTTGATCTAGGATTGACAGTAACTCCAAACAGTCTCATATTCCACACTCTTGAAACCCCAGTGCCTGGCTGTAGCCCAATCTCAACATTGTGAGGAAGATTTTGATCATATGAAGCATTTGGATTATTACCATATTCAGAAGTTACCGGTTGAACTCTACCCTCAACCTAGTTGAAGAGTCCCATAGAACATCGATAATCTGCGCATCCAAGATTAACACGACCACCGACAATTTCTCCTCGTTTTTCATAGTCGCCCTTAATGAACTTCTCTGCTTTCTCTCCACATTGCGAAGCACTCTTAGCGTCAGAGGAAGGTTGCTGCAGATTAATAACTTTCAAACTGAGCTGTGAAGCTTGTGAAGTGAGAGACTCTGCTGGCGATTTCTTCTGGCTTTCATTGTTGCCCTCAGTGAACTTCTCTCCATTTTCTCTGGAGCGCGACACACTCCTATCTGTAGAGTAAGATTGCCGTCCACTAACAAAGTCCTGTGGGACTGATGAAACCTGCGCACAGTGAGAAGTGTTTTGCGACAAAACCAGCGATGAGAACTGCGAACTGAGAGAAGTCACGCCTTGAGCCCTGCGAACTGGTAGACTGCAATTGCGAAGAAGTTCGCGATTTCGAACTTTGAGATGAAGATCGCGAAGAAGAAAATCTCGATTGTGAAGAAGAAAATCTCTGAATCTGTTCATTCAATATGGCCATATAAGTCGCGAAGTGGCTCTGAATCTGTTCGTTCATCGCTGTCAGAGAAGCTGCGATGTTTGTCATTTCCGTCCTCTCCCGTTCTTGAACAACAGAAGTAACATCTTCTTTAAAGAGTTGGACAGTATCTCACAGGCAGGTATGTTTTTCTTGGTGGCTAGATGCTGGCTCTAAATCCATCACTGATGTTTACAAACACTGTATGCCAGGGATAATAAACTGGCATATCTGGAAAACTTATGCTTCATACACTTGGGGGGATTCTAAGTCTAATTTTGAGCCACACTCGCTCAAGAAGGATATAAGCTCTTTTATCTGTCATTGGTCTGCGGGGATTCATATTCATAAGGGAAGACATATTCCGGAATTTCTAATTGAAGAAGGTCTTTGCCCTATTATGAATAAGAGGAACTTTATCCCTAAATTTCTTAAGATCAATTGGAAGGAACCAAGGAATACCTTCAAGATGAATTTCTGATTGGATCTCTTGATTTTTGATCTGTATCTCTTCCTGCTTCATTTCTGCAGCCTCTCTTTTCAGGGTTTCAGCTAACAGGGATTGTTCTATCCTTCTCTGTCCATCCAAGCATTCTTTCAGCCTGGTGCCTTCTGCCATCTTCCTGGATCAGACGGCTCTGATACCAAATGTTATGGCATGGCCAATAGTCGAAGAACAATATGATCGGAAACGGAAAAGTAGAAGGGAGATAGACAGAATACTTGGGGAAGAAGTCAGTGAGAATAATGTAATAATCATTCTGCTTTTGTAAACGGACAGTACAAATATTTATACTATTCCTTCTTTCTAAGAATAGAAGCAACCCTCATAACATAAGTTGGGTTTTAATAATAAAGCATAGTCCAACATAATAATATAGCATAATATATATTGGGTGCAATCCGGCCCACTTTTTATTCTTTGGTACGGCCCATCAGATAATTCTTCCCTTCTAGTTTACCGCTTCCACGCTTTTGAATGAGGAAACCTCCTTGCCCTTTGAATGAGCCGAGGTCATGACAGTACTGTGTATATAATAGACATATATAAATATAATGATATATGTATTTAAAAATACAACTTAATTAATTAGAATATTAAAAAATCAACCGACACATGAGAGGAGAAGTTCGACAAGACGAGAAGAGATGGGGGCCTGGGAGCATACTAGTCGGCTGCTTCCTGCGAGAGAGTGCAACTGTGAGAGTTCTGCTTCCTGGAGTTCTGCGCTCTCATCTGCGTCTCTAGACTACGTCTCTATGATCAGCTAAGATTACTTTGGGCTTTGGCTTTAATTAAAAGCCTTAATTAAATTAGTTTCTCGGGCCTGCGGACTGCGGTTAGACTAGCCAAAATCGGGATGCCTTATCGCCAAGAGCTTGCCTCAACGACGGGTGGACGCCACCAAGGTTGCCAACTCTTCTTCTGGCGAGACGAGGGAATCCGGCGACCAATCCCTAGCGCCAGGACACCTAGTCGCCAACTAGGTGAGGCCGTGACGAGTATGAATAGCATTTAATATGAGAAAAGTCAATGAGGGCAAATTTGGAAGACAGGTATGAAATACACATTGAGTTGCAATTATTTTAGGACAAAAAGATTGAATAAAATGAAAACGACAAAAAAGGGTGAGTATGTTAGGTTATAACTGGAATTGATCAGGGTACCTATCGAAGTGAGATAGTAACACCATATATTCATGGGAATAATAACCTTCTGCAGAAAGATATAAGTAGCAGAAAGCCTATCATGCAAGGATTGGCATACTAGAATATAAAGGAAACATAGTTACCTTGTCACAGTGGATTTCATGTGATGTTGTAGCAAAGGGGAATTTAGCACAAAGATGGCGAGGATGGGGAAAATCTCTACAGGCAACAACAACCTACATCAAAGTGGAAGCAAGACTAAGCAAAACTAAGCATCCTTTCTTTTATTTAATACGACCTAAAAAGGAGTGTGCTCTCACTGCACTCGTTGATCCCTTCCAGGTTTAAAAAATAAACTGGCATCATAGCATGGGTTCTTACATCCATATTTTGTAGTGAGGTTCATGGGGGTGGGGGGCTGCCTGCTTGTGTGGTACCTATCTTAGGTTAATTTACTTAATCAAACTAATTTTTATCTGCTTACAAATCAATATACAATAAGTCATTCCACATTTGTATTACCTACTTAACAAATATTGTGATGGCAACTGGAGATTAAACAGATTGTAAAATGAAGCATTTGAATTTTCTCGTTTTCACATAAAAATCGGAACTTCGTGCTTAGCAGTTACACGAAGTAAATTACACAAAGTCAAAACTGGTTTTTGCACACCAAGGTTACACTGAAATTGGATTTTGCACCACACCTGTAGAAATCTGAGTTCGCATCTCAAGTTTATATCTTTATGTTAAGCTTTGTTGAGACTATGGTGCAAAGTCCAAATTTATTGTAAACAAAAAATTTCCCTAATCTGGTGACTCTGGTCTGTAATGGTCTCTTCTAAACAAGACTAATCTGTTTGATTCTGTTTTGCATTAATCCTTTTCAGCCTAGTCTCAACTAGTCTTGTCTAGTTGTCTTGTCTTGTGGTATTTGTATTTTATTATTGTCTATGTCCAGTCTACCTTAATCTATTTTAGTCATTATTCTTAAACAAATTAAGGATCTCCATTATTCTCATAGGAGTATGCAGATTAAAAAAAACTTATCGCCACAATAATAATTTCATAAAAGTACTGCCACAAGTTACTATACTCGTATCCCATGAACCATATGGGTATTTAATACTATCTGTTCTCGATTCTCATTCACACCATACGCGCATATAAGATAAAACTAGCAAGTTGTTCGCGCGTTGCGCGATTTTAAAATGCCCAAACTCGTACTTGTTTTAAACTTTGGTTACGTGTGATAGAATTGTAGTTACGGATGGATTGTGGCAATGCAGAAATAAGACTAAGACGATACTTAGTATTGTTTGTTTAAAAAATTGTACTTTCAACCTATTCCCACACATCATTTGGAGTAATAGACATACACTTTTCTAGTCCACCTCAGTTAATCATAAACTCATATGAAATGAGAACTGATGGCTTAGCTACAAAAGCTCCATGAGACAGAGAAGATATCACCTAGGTCCTTATAGTTTGATGTTTTTAAGACTAAAACATAAGTCTAAAACAACCCCTACAAGTACTATAAGACTTTGAAAAAATTTATACTAATAATCCCAACGATTGGCAGTTCGCTTATAATAATCATAACTATCGTTTATTTCAGAATAATCCCAATTTTAGGGATCTTCCGGAAATAATGGTCCGACATGACAGGCTACATGTTGAGTAAATTAAAAAAGAAATATGAGATTATAGTATTCCGAACTATCATCGTTCGACGTCTGTTGGACCCAAAAAATTAAAATAAAATTTCCATAAATAAATAGAAAGGGTAAAAAAGATTAAAAAAATTATTTTTACTTAATTAACCTTTTTGATACTTTGTGGAACTAAAGAATATATAAAATATATTATTATAGAATATGGGAAAAATTTTAAAAATCAAAATTAAATTTCATAGCATGTAAGATACTCCCCCCGGTTCTGAAAGATCTTTACACTTTCCATTTTTAGCAGTACCAGAAAGATCTTTACACATCTTTATTTGCCTTATTTGGCAAATAAATCTACACCAAACAGTGCCAAACAGTAGTGCCAAACAGTGCCAAACGGTGCCACAGTGCCAAGATCTTTTGGAACCAGAGGGAGTATTATAAATAGATAACAAATATAAAATATATAAAGGAGAGTAAAAAATTCAATAATATAACCTTTAACGAAAAACAAAATTCAAACTAAATACAAATTCAAATAAAAAATGAAAACCTTGACTTTCAAATTTAAGAAAGTGAAAACGATAAATATTTTAATACATTTTTTCAAAATATTAAAAAAATTAAAAGCTAATCATCCTAAAATATTAAATCATTTTAAATCAGTTAAAAAATCATGAATTTGTAAAAGAATACAAAAATGATTATATATCAAAAATTTGATTTTTTTCTGAAAATAAAAAAGTAAAATGTAACATATTTTATTTCTAAAATGAAATAGGTTTTTATATTTAGTTAACATTTCATTTATAAAATTTGAAATTTGAAATTTAAATAAAATTTTCTATATATTTTTATAAAAAAAAGTTTAGTTGATAGTTGAGATTATTAAAAGAAGAATGAGCATAGTTCAGATTATTTATAAAATGCGCTTAGTTTCTATTTAAACTTGACTTGTGATAGCATGTAATAACCGGTCATGGATCATTATTGGCGGATGGTCCATATAGTTGGGATTAAACAAAAATAATCAATAGTTGAGATTATTGTTAGCGGACCGTCAATAGGTGGGATTATTATTTTTAATTTTTCTTAAGGCTTAAAGACACTAATAATAAGACTGAAACAATAAGCGACCCTAATGAGCTGAAAACGTGTGATTTAAAACAACACACAGTCAAACCTCTAGTGTGATTTTTGTTTCCTTTCATATGAACTTTTAGAAACCATTGAGTGACACACCCGAGTCTTAATTAATAAAAATCATGAAGTAAAAACGCAAAAAAAGTGCAGGAAAAAACGTAGCACAAACACATGTGGTGTGGTTTTAGCTTCCTTGAATATGAAGCTGAGGAGATGTTAAGCACAATCAAAGGCTTAAGTAATACGTAGTATTAAAGTAAGCAGTAAAAAATGGTGGGAAAATGTAGCAACAAATGCAGGCGAAACGTACGCAACCAAAAATGGAGGAAAACAAAGCAAAACCCGCAGTTAAAGCATGTTAACAATTTATATAATACCATTTCATTTATAAATCCATAAACATTATATATGTATGCTTTCGATTGCCAAAAGATGCAGTCTGGTTTGGACAACTATTTTTTTGTACACACTTTGTTTAAAAAATGTACTTTCTACTGTTTCTAGCTATTCCCTAAGATCATTTAGAGTAATTGGCACACACTTTTTACAGTTCAATTTAGCTATCCATTTTAGTTTAACCTTGACATAATATCAAACATGTAACCTACTCTTAGTTTCCTTTAATATCAACTGGTGGAGAGGTTTATCAAAATCATAAGCTTAAATACTCCAACAGTGAAAAACGCTGGGGAAACGAATGGAAAACGCAGCCAAAAATGCAGGGAAAACACAGTAAAGAGTGCAAGAAAATGCCACAAAAAAATCTCAATCTCACCTACGTAAACCAGCAACACTGGAGTACTTTTAATGTCTTTAAATAGTGAAGAAGTTAGATTTATGTGCATATAGTTCAGGGTAATTTGTGAATTCACATGTACATCAATAAAAGTATTCTATTAGGCATATCATCATTACCGCAGTGCCGCAAAGGCTCCCACCTACTGTGGGGTAAGGGGAGTCGGATGTACGCAGTCTTACCCCTGTACTAAAGCACAGAGAGACTATTTCCGGATGACCCATAGTGAAAATCGCGTCGAAAATTGCATGCACTGACCGTTGCTTCATAACAAAGAAGCGCAGACGGTTTAGTGAGTCAGTTTGCTTTATTCCACCATATTCCCCAGCCGAAATATAGTAAGTTTTTGACTCCATTGAAAATGATGGAAATCTATTAGGCATATAAACAAACAATTAGTAAGTTTAGTTTATATGCAAGAAGCTTCTAATGTTTTGAGTTTGTCCTCAAGTGGATGACCACAAACCAACTTCCAGGTTCGTATGCAAAAACAAAGTGTTGAATTCCACCCCAAACAAAGGCAAACATCAAGTTTAATCAATCCTTGGAGACTTTTGGAAAAACATACTAAAAATTACCTGGAATCTCAAACAGGGGGAAAGCTAAATAGTAAATTCTGGAAGCCTCATCTTCTTGTCTTCCGAAGCTGTATATAGGACTGGAGATGCGTAGGAAGATAATCTACAGGGATTATGTAGTATCGTTTAAGGGACCTATCAGCTTCAGCAACGGCTCATGGAGGAAGAAGAAAGAGTTCTAAGAGTTTCACGGTGTGCTATCTCAATTGTATAGTACGGAGTAATAATTTACTCAATGTTAGCCATTTAATAGAACATTCCTGGACCGATGAAAACTTAACACCATGACCCTAAAAACATAACACCCTCAAAAGAACAACACAACAACAATATTGTGTAGCAATTCTTTGACATTGTAATGATAGATGAGAGATCATTTAATACAAAAACTGTCCTTTATAAGATAGCTTAAGATATACTCCCTCCATCCCAATAAGATCGTCCCATCCACCCCGAAAAGATTATCCCATCTTTCCTTTTTTATCCGCACCACTAAGATTTCTCATATCAAATTTGATAAAGTTTGTGTGATTCTATATCATTTTTAGTTTACTCTTACTTTATCAATTCCATATCAACCGCATAAAACCATTTTCCTTAATAATCATGGCACCTTTACTGAGATGGAGTCATAGAGGTAGTCTATAACTATAAGAGTATATGAAAGTATCAATCTTCAATGTTCCTTTGAAAATTAGCCCGTTCATTTTCAATATTCAAATATACACCCTGCTAATATCATATAATTTTCAAAACCGCAGGATGCCAGGATCGGTATAAGGTATACCTATACCCCCGCCCGTATTTTCTTTGGACATTGCCGATCATTCACACCCTTATCTTCATTTAAGGAGGCAGCAAATAATGAGGAGCAGACTTTTTTTTAATTTGACACATTCCAGCGTAGAAGAGCTTGAACAATAGTGATTGTTGACAGATGTCTTTCTTTTGGCATAGAACAGAGCATTCAAACATCGACTCCTCTTCCTTAGATGTGATTCTTCTTCCTTCTTTCTTCTTCTCAACTTCTCCTCAATACATTCTCCTCTTCTTTCCACTCTTTTCTTCACATGGTACCTTGTTGGAGAAGGAGACTCAGAGTGAGAGGTAGAAGTTTCAGGATCATCAGTTGAGTTTTCAAAACAATTCTCAGTTGATTGAGGAGAAGGAGATTGTGAGCTTGTGCTTGATTGAGACGATGCTTTTAACAAGATAATTTCACTCAAAAGTTGTTCTCTTTCAAGTTCAAATGCATGTTTTTCTTTATCAAAAGTTTCTTTCAACTCAACAAACTTTCTCACAAGAGGTGAAATGTATGCTGGTTTGACTTGAGGCTCTGAAGTTGAAGATTCCTCTGCATCTTGCACGATCTCTTTTTCAGGATAAAAGGTCAGAATCTCATCAGCATGAGTCAATTGAGGCTCTTCTGTATCATAGCTCTTGTTCAAACCATCATAACTGAAAGAAATTTCAGTTCTGGGATTAGCTCTTTTTGCTTCTTCTTCTACCGCCATTTCTTTTGCACAAACAAAAGACATCAACTGGACCAGACCTAGACCCATGTAATTTATGTCATAAAATTGAATACAATTCACTTTCTTTAAATTACACGGATTAGACAGACCAAGTCTTTCCTTGGAAATATAGAAACGGGTGTCTTTGTTTTGATTGAGAAAGATTGTTTGCTCAGTCTGCCCTTTGGTTGCAATTAAGTCCTCTAACTCCTTGATTTTTATGTAAAGAGCGCTTCTTTGGATATGAAGAAAATATTTATCAGTTTTTTCTGTGCTTCGCTCTCTCTAACTTTCTTGCAACCTCTCCGTCAGATTAGCTATTTTATGTACTAGCTCTTCTGTTTCTGAGGTCATCTTCTTAATCTGATTCTTGCCGTTTTCTAATTGAATGCTCAGTGAGGTTTTCTGGTCCAGATTCTTTACCAAGACCAAGTAATTGTTGTCTAACCTTTCCTTTAGTTCCTTAATAACATCATCTTTGTTATGAATTTGACAAGTACAGGTACAAGGAGATGAGACGTCCATTGTTGTTGATTGTTGAATGTTGACCGTAGACGTGAGGTTGATTAAAGTTTCTGCAATTTTCTGGACCTTGAAATGTAGCTTTGGTCGTTGAGAAAAATAGTCTTAACCTTGAGATATTTTTTTTAATTCAAGGTTGACTCTTGGAAGCTTTGATTGTAGGGTTGACCTTTGGTGTTGGCTTTGGAAGAATTTGATTAGATTTGCCTAAGTTTTGACCTTGACATTGGTGATTGACAATGTTTCTAGGAAAGCTGACGATATCTCCCTCATGAAGATCTTTTCGTTAGCTTTCCAAGAATGTATGATTCGCTTAAATCGGATCACCGAGTCAAAAGTTATGGCCAAAACAGTGCGAAGACGCTGAAAATCTCGAAATTTGAATTATGAGAGATTTTTCGATATCCTGATGTCGGGATATTGATGTCGAGATCTTGATGTTGAGATCTTGATGTCGAGATGTTGATGTAGAGATCTTGATGTCGAAATCTTGATGTCGAGATCTTGATGTCGAGATCCTGGTGTCGAGAACCTGATGTCGAGGTCCTGATGTCGAGATCTTGATGTCGAGATCCTAATGTCGAGATCTTGATGTCGAGAAACCCGTTTTCTTCGCAAAACCTGCGAAAAAACTCAAAACTTCGAGATTTCAAAAATCCCAAAAACGGAATTTCACCCTTGTTTATCTCAAAACTTGATCGAAAACATCCATCAATTGCAGAATAGCGTCCAAACCAGGCCGATTCAGCCAAAATACGCAGAAAGTTAGATTTTTGAAGAAAAAATAGGAGAAGTTGGCTAACTTATGGATTACAAAGAAGTTAACGGGCCGATACACATTTGTGGCCCGTATTACACATTTAATTAATAACTACACAAATACAAAGATATTTAATTAGATTGGACACCATATAATATTCCCAACACGCTATAACATAATCCATTATTCGCTAACCGTTAAATGTCAAACACGTCCTTTAACCATAAACTGGCAACTAGTGAATGAGAATGTGACTAAGAAGTGGCACACTTGTAACCTATAGTTATTTTCAGAGGATGCAGCTCCTCTCCATTTCTTTCTCTCCATTTTCCCTCCATTTCCTTTTTACTTCCTATCTATCTCTACCTTTTTCTCTATCCTATTCACCAACATAGCCCACCTTTCATTTTCTCCTCTCTATCTCTCTCATAATGGAACTCTCTAGTTAATGGAGAGGATCCAAATTCATTTTCAGAAGTGGCACACTTGTAACCTATAGTTCTCTTACAATTAATTAACTCAATCAAATCGCCCAATGATTAAAAATGGGTCTACATTGTTATTTAGTCGGTGAGTAACCGGTTGTGCCGTTTGATACTGATGTGCTCGCATATATGATTGAATTAATTCTGTTTTTGAAAACTCTTGAATGATATGGCTTTCTTCCCCGTTTCTAGTTGAAGACCCCTTCTTCCATCTCCATTGTTCGTAACCCTGTCTTTGAGTCGTACGATTGTTGGCAGGTTCCAAAGCTGCTTATCCTTTGTGAATGAGAAAATTACCCATATAGGAGTAAATTATTGTAAAAGTGCAAATCTAAGACTTCAATGTTTCGTAATTGTTGGTCCAAAATAGGACGCTCGTAGGCTTTTAGGAAAGCTACGTAAGAACACTCAAGCAAGAATTAGGAAAGTACGAATATGGAAAGTTGCAAAGGGGATTTGGTAACCAGAAATAGCATATAGAATTTGTCTCCCCTAATCTGAATTACAACCCGCCTTTTGTAGGCGTATACAAATCGTAACTGTTACCGATAATAATGACTTATTAATTACAACATTAATACGGAATTAAATACATAATTAATAGCGCAATAATTGCTTGACCGTTACTCTTCCAGGCTGGGAGGTCGGCCGGACTGGCAGGCTCCCCGCTGGACTGGCAGGCAGGCTCCAGGTTATGGACTTGGATCCACGGGTCCAAGTTCGGGGCTTGGGATGATTAGGCTCTGGGCCTAGTCCTATTACTCCATCACGAGTCCCCCACTCCCTTAGTCGAGTAGTAGACTCGGCTAAGAGGGAGTAGTCTAAGTTAGTTGCTCTTCTCCGAGACTAGAAGATCCCCGCCCTTGTCCATGTTGGGGAGATGCCTCATTAAAAACCTTCACTAGGAAAAAACCCAATGGGAAAAAATCCTAATGAAGGGGAAAAGAGTACACCTGATGCCCCCAAGATGAAGCAAGAGGTGAAATCTTCAGCCTTTTATTGCCATGGTCACCATCTGCGAAGAGGATGGCTAGAACCGTTCTTCTCGTCGGGTTCGGACTCATCAAGCTCGTCTTCATTCAGTCGTACCTACGCATAAAAGTAACAAGTGTAGAATAGAGCATCTGGCCCGGTGTCGAACCATGACTTAGTGTGTAACTGAGTCGGACTCACCACTTGAAAAGAGTGACACCAAGTTCCAAGGTTAGGCCTCAACCCAGTCTCCGAAAGAAAGATTGAATCCGCGAGTAAGTGAGTCGGACTCCTCACTCAAACGGATAATCCAACCCCAAAGAACTAAAGTATATCAACCTTTTTGAGAAATGTGAATGTCAATTAAGTGACAAAATTGCTCGGAAGAGCGTGGCTCTAGGCCCCTAACAAGAGTTTAACTCGCCGCTCGAGGTTAGTAGTTCGAACCCGCAAGTAAAAACTTTTGAACGGGTGACTCGTCCCCCGAGGTCGGAGTGTGATGCACTATGAAGGGGTAAGAGCACGCGAGAACTCGTATTTATGAAGTCAAGAGTGTGCGGTATTAACATGTATATTGGAGCTTATTTATCGTCACACCCATATGACGTGACCCGGTGGCGCGAGTGTGTGTGCTCGACCAGTGTACGAGTGTGTGTGCTCGTCCGGCGTACTTGAGTAATGGGATTTCATAAGTCAGTTTTTCAATGTTAAAATTACACACACTTAACAAGAGTAAAAGCAATATATCACTTAAAATATCTTTTCAAATGTTTCAATTTATGATTTTTTAAACAAACATTTCCACAATTTATGGAGGGGGTTTGAACGGTACTTAGCTTTAAGGAGTTTTCAATTCGATCAAAATGATAACCACGATGCCAGGTGTGATTGAAGCCCAAAATTTGACTTTGTCCACAATTTTTGTCTTCCACGGCCCAATTTCATTTCAAAGCAAATGAAGGATGTGGAGGCACTATGCTTGACCTAGTCAACCTTACCACTAGCGGACTGCTTTTCAACGGCAGAAGATTCCACATTTATCCAAATGAGATAAATCCATAGGAGCTGCTGGCGATGGTCAGAAACAAAAGGAGACCACAACGGTTACCGCCGTTTGGCTGAACCCCACCTATGGTCGTCACTGGACGGAGGCGGAGGAGAAGGGAAAGAAAAACCCTTTCCGAACCGGAGAGAGCCTCGTTATCCTGCTAAGAGGATCGGCATTGCGCACTGTCGTTTTTGTTGCTCGATCGGGAAAGACAACATGGGCTGTGCCGCTGCCTGTGCGTCCCAGGCTAGCACTGTAGGAGACGAGGAAGGGCCCTCAACCAGTATCAACGGCAGTGAGAGAGATGAGTACCTCTGGCATCGCGTGCTTGGTTCGACCTCGGATATGTCTTCCGCAGACAAGTGGAGGGAAACCTCTGATGTTGCTACCACCGGTGAGGAGAGGGTGATGTTTTAGCGACGGATATTGTTGATGCGGCTAGAGGAGAGTAAATTGATGCTCTGACCAATGGAATGCGTCTTCCTCGCGCCTGCACTGGAGCCGATTGTTGCAAATTGTCTTCTTCCCGGGATCCAAGCTTGTTATTCCACATTTTTTATGTATTTTCCGATTAATTCCTACTAAAGTGACGTGAGAGACGATAAAGGCTCTCAATGAAAGCACCAATGTTGGTTCAAAATAGGACGCTCGTAGGCTTTTAGGAAAGCTACATAAGAACACTCAAGCAGGAATTAGGAAAGTACGAATATGGAAAGTTGCAAAGGGGATTTGGTAACCAGAAATAGCATATAGAATTTGTCTCCCCTAATCTGAATTACAACTCGCCTTTTGTAGGCGTATACAAATCGTAATTGTTACCGATAATAATGACTAATTAATTACAACATTAATACGGAATTAAATACATAATTAATAGCGCATTAATTGCTTGACCGTTACTCTTCCGGGCTGGGAGGTCGGCCGGACTGGTAGGCTCCCTGCTGGGCTGGCAGGCAGGCTCCAGGTTGTGGACTTGGATCCACGGGTCCAAGTTCGGGGCTTGGACTGATTAGGCTCTGGGCCTAGTCCTATTACTCCATCAGTAATGTTCCGTAGGACATAAAAGAATGGAGTTGACATCACTACCCTTAATGAGAAAAGTCAATTTCTTTATTATTAGTCAATATTATTATAAAACATACAGAGTAATAATAAAACGGATTTCAACAAAGGTGCAGCGCGTAGATGACATCAAGCATTCAAGCTGCACCAGATCTGGTGAGCCACGACTATCACCGCCACCACCAGCATTGATGTCGGCGCCACCACCGTCAGCGTTGGCTTTGCCGCCGCCTGCATCGTCATCATCGTTGTCCCCACCATAGGTGCCACCAGCTGCTCCATCTTTGACCTTATCTAGCTTTTCCGCCAGCCCCGCCATATCCGGCGTCGCCACCACCACACCATGGCTCATCTGCGTGAACAAGGTGACCTCTAGCGTCGCCGCTGCCTCCACTGTATATCTCATATCTTATTTCAAATATGATATGACTCTCACTCAAGTGCCATCTTGCAGTTGGACTGTCATCTTAATGACATTATTGCCATCCTGATACAAGCAAGATGTCATTTTCATATTAAAAAACATGGCATTAATGTCTTTCCGAATGAGTACTAATGTCATCTTCATAACATTAATTAATGCCATAAAAATGACGTTCTCAAAGTGAAATTTTCAAATCCAGAGTAACATTGTAAAATTAATCCCATAAAAATGACACAATTCTGAAATAAATTTGCAATTGATGATATTCAATGGGGAAAATTATAATAATAATATTTATTTCATTTTCAAATTAAAAAAATAAAAATCTCGAAATAAATATAAAGAACTAAAAAATCAAGAAATAATAAAAACAGAGATGGTTTCTCAACAAAAAATAGAGATGGTGGGAGAAGAAGAAGTAGAGGAGGAGGAGGAAGAAGATCCAACCAACCTGGATGTTGTTCACTTGTGGCCGTTCGCCGCTCACCGCCGTTCGCCGCTCATCGGTGGCTAGAAACGGAGAGAAACTTCATCATCCATATCTCTAAAAATCCCAGAGATGAAAGGAATCGAGATAGTTAAATAAAATTGAAACTGTTATACAAGAGAATAGAATAAAATAGAGGTCTCAGATTTAAATTTATGGATGATAGATGGGAAAGAAGAGATTTGGATTTGGGGAAGGAAGATGGGGGAAAGAATAAAGGGGAGATTGGGGAAAAAGAAGGTATGGAGTAGGGAGAAGAGAAAGAGATGTACGTCTCTTAGGCCTGAGGCGTGCGAGATGGGTATACTAGGTAGGTTAATTAAATTAGTCTTATTTAGATAATAAATTAAAGAGAGCTCATATTTTAGAACTTCTCTACTATTTTAGTCCTATTTAGAGCAAATACTTTTTGTGAATTCATATGTGAACGTTAGTTTAGAATAAGTGGCTAATTATATCATCTTAATTAAAAAGGTGATTATTTAGAGACCGGAGTAGAGGAAGAGAATTAGGAGCATTGGATTTGAGGTAAGTTTCTCTGCCAATCCAAAATTGTTTCCTCGTATTATATGCTTATTATGCATTATGTGATTAAGTGTGATTTGTGAATTTTGTGTATGTGATTTTGAGAAGATATTATATATATGGTAGTTAAGAAGTATAAATCAAGTACTTTTGGGGTATTAAATATTTTTAAATACCTTCGAGACTTTTTAGAGAAATTAAGAAGTATTTTTGAAGTATTATTAAGCGAAGATAAAATTTACATTTTCATAAGAAGATAGCATCTCGGGAGTAATCCGAGGTGTCGGTTTTTCCACATCCGGATAAATGTGGAGGGTGATTAGAGCTACTACTACTAAGAAGTACAGTTTGGATCTATGATCCCTTTTAAGCAAGATTTGGATCTATGATCCCTTTTAAGTGAGATTTGGATCTATGATCCCTTTTAAGAAGAAGTTATAGTAGTAGTCCCTAATCATTCAAGAATTTTAGAATTGGGGTGGTTGGGTTCCGACCACTCGGGATGACTTACTACTCGGAGGGCTTGGAATCCCTTTTAGGGGGTGTGCACACTTAAGGTAGTCGTTTCGTTTCCAACAGAGCAGTTGTGGTACCGGCACTTGTTCGGGGTGGCCGTCCGTAACCACGGTTCACCGGGCTCTATCGAAAGGTTGAGCACCGCCCTTCTAAATTACTAGGAAGTTAGAGAAGAAGTGATTTTCTTAAGAAGTTTAAAAAGAAGAGTTACTAAGAGATTTTCCAAGAGAAGTTTAAGATTTTAGCAAAGAAGTAGTTTGAGAAAAACCAAAGTGAAAAGAATTTTGATGGTGTGAGTATTTTTATATATTATTATATAAAAATCTATTTTTAGCCAAACCTGATTATTTTACGGGGTTGGGTAGTACTTACTTAGATCTAAAGCTAATTTTTGTTATTTTCTTGTTAAACTTTTCTAATTGTAAATTTTTAAAACCTTATTTTTTTTATTTTTTTTACTGATAGAGAATAATATACTGAGTATATTACTGGTCAAAATTGTGCATCAACAAATGTGACAAGTGGAGTGTTGCATTTACTTAAGAACAGATGTAGTGTATATTTAATAAAACTTATTTTCATGTGTAAAATAACATATTTTACAACATAAATGTCAAAGACAAAAATAAATATTATGAGAATAAGATTTTTTGTCAAAATCAATTACATAAACATCTCAAGCCCATAAGTATTGAACTAATTTTCACCTCCAAATCCAATGAGTTAAACTAATTATATTTCAGACACGGTGTGGGTTAAACTAAAATACAAAGTGAAGCTAGATCCTTAGCTAGATTTTTGCTCACCAAATTAACAACATATAATATTTCATACCAAATAACTGTAGCAAGCAAAAATTCAAAATTACAAAGATCATTTTTAGCTAAGGATCTAGCTTCACTTTGTATTTTAGAATCATTGTCTGTCTCGGCCAATTCTAGCAATGCTTCTCAAATGTCAATGATTTGAAATCTTATTGCTTTGACACTTTCCACACGACTTTCCCACCGTATGGTTGATAAGGATTTTAGAGTCAATCCTTGGACATTGTTTTTTAAAATTTACCATCTTTTTGTAGAATTAGCAAAGAATGTGTAGATTCGTTGCACTACAACAACAACATCCAAGCCTTAATCCCAAAAGAATTTGGGGTCGGCTAACATGAATCGATCTATGATATCGATGCCAAAAAGAGAAGGCGGACAAGAAAAGGAAAAAAAGTAAGATAAAATGAATAAAATAAAGATACATAAATATAAGATAACAATAACACAAGAATATAACCAAGATAAAAGAAAAATAAATAAAAGAGCATAAAAAAGCTAGAAGATAAAAATAACATAAGAATATAAAAAGATAAGGAAGATAAACGATAATGTAGATTCGTTGCACTACTCCAAAAAAATCTCTTGCTTTTCGAGAACAATTAGCAATGTCACACAAGGTCAAATTAAGGCTATGACTACCGCAAGGAGTATAGAATGCCCTAGGATTTACATCCAAGAGTCTTTTTTTGCACACCTTGATGCGTACCTCTCATGTTTGATCCATTATCATATCATTGCCCTCTAACATTATCAATATCAAGATCAAGAGACTTTAACACACTTTGCAACACTTCAAAAAGGCCATGTCCTGTTGTGTCATTCACAACCAAGAATTCCAAGAAAAATTCTTCTATTTTAATCGGATAAGAGGAGATATCAACACATCTTAATATCAAATTCATTTGTTCTTGCCTTCTTGGTGACTCGAATCAGGAGTACAATCAAGTATCACAGAAAAATATTTAGCTTCTTTGATTATTTTAATGATCTTAGATTTTACTCCTGAAGCAAGCATCTCTATCAATTCATTTTGAATCTTATGACTAAGATAATGGTGATGAGTATCCTTATTGTCGACGCGATGAATAAGCTCTTGAATAGTAGCATCAAATTCACCCAGCATCTCAATTAATCCTAAAAAATTCCCATTATGATTCTGATGGAGCCGCTCATTTGTTCCACGAAACAACAATTGCCTCCAAAAGTCCTTTTCATTCAAAAGTTGATCATGAGCTACTTTATCAATTGTCTCATTTTTTTTATCGAAGCCTCAACTCTACCCAACTCCTCATGTTACCCATATGCTCCACACCTGTTTCATGTTCTCTCAGTCTAGGACTAAGATGTCCCCAATCATCAAAACCCGTGTTAGCTAAAGAACCTTTGCCTACACCTTTTCTAAAAATCTTACAACAGAAGCAAAATACCCTATCAAGCTCCTTTGAATAAACAAGTCAGTCTCAATCACATTCCTCTCCATTAGGCAAACTTCTGGGGTAAAAAGCTGATGAGAATCTTCTAGAGAATTTATCTTTAGGCCCTTCCACAAAATTTAAATCTCTTTTAGGACCATTCTCTATCAAAATGTTTGTCAACTTTGAATCTAGAGCATCCCAGTTTCTTGGATCATATATGTCAAATAAACCAGAACTATTTGGCATATCATCTAAAACATCAATTCTGTGGTCCTCTTTATCAGGATTCTCAACCATTTCGTTAACACAATAATCAGGTATTTCAACATTATTTTCAACATTCACTTCTTGTTGTTCACCCTCTTGAACATCACTAACTTCTTTAATAATAAACTTATAAAGAGCTCCTTTTTGAGATTGGGTTAACTCGTCAAGTCTTCTTTTCCTTTGACGCTTGTCATGACCGGATTGGTATATATATGGAAACATAATTATTACCAATTATTGAAATTCTCTTATAATCTTGTACATGTTTATAAATTTTAAATTAATATTTAGTTTAAAATTAGGGTGAAAGCATGAATGACTATACTAATGTATAATTATAACTTATCAACCTCAAATTACCAATTTATCAACCTCAAGTTATCAATTTTAATTGCTAAACACATTTACAAAATTACACATTTATTATCAATTCAAATAATGATTTACTTTAACTGCAAAAAATCAACAAATAACGACAATACAACAATTCAACAAACATTAAATCTGAAAATGAACAAATTACAAGAATTCAACAAACAATTCATCAATTCAATAGATCGAAAGTTCACAAGAATTAGCAAATTAGTAACTAAATGAATAAAAGAAACTGGATGCAGTGGACTGACCGGAATTCTGGACGACTGGATTAAGGGAGGCGGTCAGGCGGGACCGTGGGAGCAGGGAGCTTGAGGTTCTGAGCGTCTGAGGGAGGCCGGAGGTGGGCGACTGCTGTGGAGTGCGGTGGCGCCGTGGCGAGAGCAGGGAGCTTGAGGTTGTGGCGGTGTGCGGTGTGCGGTTCGACTGGAGACGCGGAGGCGGCGGAGCTGTGGAGGTCGTGGGATAGGAGGTAATTGGGGCGTGGGTTGCTGACTTTCTGCATAGGGGGAATAGCGGAGGAGGTGGGTTGGGCGATGTCATGGAGCAGGGGATTTGGGGGAAGAGATTTGGGCTAAAAACTAATGGGCTGGGAGCTAATATTAATTTTTTTTGGACCCTTCAAAATTCCGGGCCCTGTGCGGTTGGACT